CAGTCACTAGAGTAGAGTTTTCATTGGTTACTCTGTGAGTGACAGCATACGGTGATCCCGCCCACTCCTCAATACCTCTGGTTTGGCAGTTTCCCTGCGGCTCCCGCCTCCTCGGCCCCGGCCCCGCGACTCACCGCTGGGACCAGCAGCTTCTTCACCTCCTCCACGGCCCTCTTCAGCTTGATTTCGGCCCTGTTCTGCGAGTCCTCCACGGTGATCAGCACGTGCAGGTCCTCGTTTAGGTGCTCCCAGTTTGGCTTCCCGCGGTTCTGCTCCTCCTGCAGATTTTAATGGAGGAGACGAAGGCTTTCTTTTCGCTTTGTTTCCTCGCGGGGAAATTCTTTACATGTTTGACCTTTAAGAGTTAAGGCGTATTATGTAACCATTCAGGCTGAATACTTTGCACAGAACAAATAAAATAAATCCTTCCCAGTTCTCTTGTTGCGGGTTTCATCTTTTCTCACATCCCCTACGCTTGCAGGTGTCTAAGCTTTCGGCCGGCAACCCGCTCCTAAGGACCCGCCGTGACCCGTCACCTGCACGGCACCGTGTCCCTCCAGCCTCAATGAGGCCCGGGGCCGCCGGAATACTGAACTATCATACTCTAATTAGGCAGAAAAAAATGAAAACAAAAACCACAACAAAAACACACAAATGGGGAGGACTTTCATCTTCAGCAAGCGCAGCCCTCGGGCCAAACGAGGAGAGACAGGGGAGCAGCTAACGAAGGCATCAAAAGCCAGGTTCTGTCTGTGTGGAACCTCCCTGGAGTGGGAGAACATTCATTGTTCTTTTTTTTTTTTTAAAAATCGTAACCTGGTCCTACTTGGATACGGTTCATGTGGACCATCATTACAGCTGAGTCACAGCACAGCGTACAAATCAATAACGAGATAAAGAAGCATTTCCTTTAAGAACAAACAGCGAAAGAACAGAGGATCAAGCAGCCCACAAGACATTCCCAGGCGCCGAGCCCCGTTCCTGAGACGGCGGTTTGGGGGACGCCTGGACGGTGACTGGCCCGGGAGGCGGCTCCAAGTTCTCGGCTGTGCAACCGGACCCACAGAATATTTAAGGGACGTGTCAAAGCGGCAAAGTGAAATGCGCTGCTGTTACTCTGAGCCAAAGCGTCGCACTCGCGATGCACTCGCGATGCACATCGCACTGCACGGCGCACTGCACAGCGCACTGCACGGAGATTTCCACAGCCCTCCTGAATGCGCGGATGTACTTGGAGCTGAGCTGCTGTTCACTGGCAGCCCAGCAGCAGCTTAAACACAAATGCAAACTTTAATAATAAGCAAACACACTAAAATGCGATTCTAGGGTATGAAAGAAAATACCCGATCCTGCTTAAACAAAAACTTCACCCACGCAGTCGTTACACAGCCTCGTTAACAGGCCAGATCTGTGACCATGTTTGTCAAAAGATAAAGAAATTAAGTCTCGATGTTCTCGTTTATCAGGAGCAGCTGATTAGTGTGACGGTGCCCATTAAGCTGGATCCTTTCTTCTTGGTGTTTGGTTTTTATTTTTTTGCATTTTTACAGGGAAAAGCTCCTCTGCTGGCCTCTAGTGCCACTAAATTCAATCGGAGCACCTTTACTGTTCCATCGTGGGTGACGGGTCAGCTAGGATGTCAGTGTTCCCCAGGGACGAGCTGGCCATGCCCACGTGTTACATTAATGCATTAACGTGCGGTTCACGGCTCCTGGCCCATCAGCCAGATGCGGATCTGCGCAGGATCTGCGCAGGCGTTCTGCGTGGACTCCCCTCTCCCCACTGCAGGCCCCCGCTTACCTTCTTCTTGTCCCGCATGGAGCCCTTTCCTCGAACCATGATCTTACAGCCCGTCTCCGCCTCCAGCTGCTTCGCCGTCAGCCCCCGGGGCCCCAGGATCCTCCCAACGAAGTTAAACTGCGTAGACAGAGCAGGGGTGGCAGATCAGGGGTGGTGCTTCACTAAGGACGCCCCCTCCCCCCCATCGGCCCACAGGGGGCACCGGCTCGGTTGGCAGAGGAGTTATAATTCGGACACCTGGTGATTCAGCCTGAAATGGAGCCTCTACTTCAAACATATTGCCTAAGAGCTGCTGGCGTACAAGCTCACAGCAGAATATTAAGCGTGACGGTTCTTCTCAGGACAGCGTCTCATTCGCGGTGCGATACAGCAGGCTGGCACGACATTTCCATGCAGGCGTGATGCAAACACTTCAGAAGCACTTGACAGCAACCCCCCCGGAGTCCCACAGCTATTTCCGCCCATGCAGTCACACCCCCCCCCTCCCCTCCCCCCAGGTTTGAATTATGCAAAATGGGACATAATGGGAGTATCCTGATAACCCATAATGCAACGCTACATTGGCAGCAAAGTGCATTTACCCCATTGAGTAGGGTCAGCATCTTATAGCGTGGTAAATCAGAGTTACTATGGTTACTACACTTTTTCAGGTTTGTCGCAGTTCAGGACGATGTGTATCCACTCTCCGGGAGGACGTCACAGCCCACCCCCTCCTGAGGGTCACCCCGACACTGATGGATTAATGGACGTGACCCCCCTCCCCCCTCCTCGTGTGTTGTGGGTCAGCCCTGGGGGTGGGAGTCCTCTGAGGGACCGGGCCCCGCGCCTGGAGTCCAGCCTCGGAGAGAGCAGCTGGTGGCCAGGTCACTTACATAACCAGGCTGGGCTCGTCCCCAAAATGGCCGCGTGGAGCCACCGTGTTGGAGTAACACCTACGAGATGAAGGGCACGGATCGGTGGCGAGGCCAGCGGAGTCGCAGGTGGGATTGGGGAGGGCTAGACCTCGCTGAAGGGAGCCGGAAATATAATGAAAATCATAATTAATCCCGCTAACCGGGAGGTTACCTGGAAACCCACACGTGCTGGTCAATGCAGCGTCCGGCAACCACCTTCCGACGAAGGAAGGCAGAGCAGAAAGCAGAGCATGACTGAACACCGATCGCGATCCAGCTGACAGCCGACATGCTAGGTCGGCTGAGAAGGGCCCAAGGCCTGAGCTCACGGCGGCACGCTGTGACAACACGGCCCAAATATCACCTGCTAGGAAGTGGCATGAGCAGGCAGGTGATGTGGTGGACGGGGCTTGACATCCACCTGCACACATCACTGGTTTCTGGGGCACGACGGCTAAGGAAGGACCCTAGAAAGACCCCGGAGTAGGAACCTCTGCACTCAGGCAAAAAGCAGTTCTCCTCCTCAGAAGTTAGATAAGAAACCCCCGGGATCTTCTAAAATGGTTTAGGACACTTAAGGCCAGTGAAGTTTGCCATGCTCATCCATGGCTGCAGGTCCTCGTGTGCACCTCTGGCGACCTGAATGCAGGTCCTCGTGTGCACCTCTGGCGACCTGAATGCAGGTCCTCGTGTGCACCTCTGGCGACCTGAATCCTCCATATATGACCCTTGGTGGTGCAACCAGCGGTTCCCCAAGAGCCTTTCAGGACATGTCACACGCACTTCCAATGAGGGCGTTTCGGAACCTGACTGACAAGCGGAGATCATCCAGACTGCGGTACGTGGGTCTCACAGCACATCTTCCCAGTCCACTGTGGACCGGCATGGTCAAGACTGTAAATGAGCAGTTAGCTGGGTTGCATGCGTGGGGGCTGACTGGTCACATGACAACCTTGCCCTGATTTCTGCTGAGGTGTCGCAGAGCCCTGCTGAAATGTCATAACCCCCTCCCCCCCACGCGCTTAATCCAGGCCATCACCGCAAACCTTTTCCCGCCGAGTCGCTCGACGAATCAAGGCTTCGGCTGTATTTTACATGAATCAGCAGCTCAAAGGAGGACATCTTTCCCCTGAAGTCATGACACAGAATCCCCCCAACACTGTCAGTGGGTGCTGTTTTAGCAGCAACACAACCACTGAGAACCCAAATTTCTAACCTCTTGCTTACAGATTCGGGTCCCCGGGAAAGCGTTGCAGTTTTCACAGGGACAGCCAGTGCTGAAATAACTGCAGCATCACGGGAGGAAAAAGGCAGGGCAGTGATTTAGGGGCGAGTCGACCCTCGGTTACAGTGCCCGCCGCAGCATCGCCATGGTGACGCCGCATGACCCCTTAGCGATGGCTAGATTTTTATATCTGTAACAGAGCTGCTCACTTCATACAAGTGGGTCACGGGGGTTTGTGCAACAGAGGAGGAGGTCATAGACAAGGGGTGGAAGAGTGGTAGGTCCTGGGGAGGGCAGAGACACGCAATGACCTCACACACAGACACAGACACAGACACAGACACAGACACAGACACAGACGCCCCAAATGTAAGCCTTATAAACTACACTGGACAACATTATTAGCAGCTAAACTACGCAGATTGAAGAAGCACTGACCCACAGAGCCCTAAACCCGCCAGGCAGGACTGACACCCACAGAGCCCTAGACCTGCCAGGGAGCACTGACAACCACAGAGCCCTAGACCTGCCAGGGAGCACTGACGTCCACCCACTCTGTGATTGGATGGATGTTGGTTTGAATCCTGTCCTCTGCTGAATAATCCCATCTCCCCTGGGCCTTTCAGCGAGGCCCTTAACTGCCCCCCCTCAGGGGTCCTGGATAAATGGCTGCACTTGGACCCCAAGCTTCACTCTCAGCAGTATGAGTCATACAAAGGAGAACATGATGAGATGTATGAAAAATACCCCCCACTGTACCTGTACTCATACGTGTGCGAACGGCAAATAAAGCTTCACTTAATTTCCTTCCATTTAATTTCACTGGAGGTCTTCCCCACCCCCACCCCAAACTCTGGGGGAGCTACAGTTCCTCAGCGTGCAGCAGGAGATGTGAAGTACTCCCGTGTCACACGAAACCAAAGCCCTGAGTGGCCGGTAAAATGCAAAGCTCTAGCCTGATATGCTCCAGCCCAATCTGCGCCCCCCCACACAGAAGGAGGTGCATCGCAGGCATGCCGCCCCTCTTCTGGGTGACTGGCGGAGGGGGGGTAGGGAGTGTCTGCGGGATAAGGAGAATGAGCAGACATGCCCCGCCACCCCGCCCCCCCGCCACCCCGCCAGCACATCCATGTGTTTGACTAACCACCATGACAGTCTGTCACGCTCTAAAGCAGACTTCACGTAAACCTCCCCCCCTCCCCTGCCTCACCAGGGGCCCATTTGGTGCCATCGTGAGCCCCCCCCCCGTCCCCCTCCCTGACCTTTGCTGTCAGGGAGCTGACTGACAGGGGGGGCAGCTGACTCCGCACCGGCCCACAATGCATTCCCTTCCTTTTAAAGCCCCCCCAAGAGCACAGGTTCCAGCAGCTGGGGGACACTCACTGTATATTTAGCACTGAGCTCATATATTCCTGTAGCTACGAAGAGGGGGGCTGCATGTGGGTGGGGGGCATTGTGTTTCTGTCCCATGGTGGATAAAGAAAGGGTCGCGCTTAGCGGAGGACAGTGTGAGGCAACTGAGGATCCCACCCTCTACCCCCCCACTCCAATTACACCTCAGAGGTGTCTGACTAGCCAGGGAGTGAGATTAAGCAGGATAAAGCCGATTTTATTTTTAATCAGCGCAAGTAAATATGCAGGGAGGGCTTCCTATCATCAGGACGTCAGCTGCAGCCTGAAGGTCGTCAGCCGCTCAATCTGTACCTACGCGCGCACGGGGAGACGCGCAGATGTGAACAGGGAGACGAAGGCACAGGGAGACGAAGGCACAGGGAGACGAAGGCACAGGGAGACGAAGGCACAGGGAGACGAAGGCACAGGGAGACACGCAGACGCGCACAGGGAGACGCGCAGACGCGCACAGGGAGACGCGCAGACACGTGCAGAGGGACGTGTGAAAGCACAGATGTGCATAGACGTGCAGAGAGAGAGACGCACATGAGACGTGCACAAACAAATACACGCATGCAGAGAGAGAGATACCCCCCACACTACGCTGGCCCCCACCATGGACCCCCCTCCTGATTTAATACTTGGCCAGCTTATCTACATCAAACGATATGGGTCCCCTTGGTCAGAGTCCAACATACTCAAGTCTGAAAGGATATAGTGATGAACATTTGGGGCCGAAGCAAACTCCCAGCATGCTCCTCTGAGGAGTGAGGAGTCAGGGTCACTCCGGGTCATTGCAGCCCGAATCGTGCCACAGAGCAGCGAACCAGAATGGGATCTGTGATCAGAGGGCCGCCATGCTGCCCACGGGAGGGGGGGGTGAGGGGACAGCTGCCACTCAGCTGGGGCCCTGCAGATCACTGAGGGGCCACAGGGTCACGCTGGACTCACACCTGCGTCCTGTATGGGGGGGGAGGGGTGACACTCTCCTCTGGGGCCCTGGGTACTGGCAGAGTGAACGGTCCACATGCAAGAGGCTGAGCAAAGAGCAAGAGGGAGACCGACGCACAGGCATTGCTGGGAACCAGAGTCTGTATTGGGCCACAGGACACATGGGCATCCCACAGTACTCAGTACTCACGTCGGGGTTAGGGATTGGGTACTCACGTCGGGGT